TAAGACGTCTTAAAGGAGTCATTACCTCTGGTCCACAATAAATGATTAAGTCCTAAGCTTTAAGAAATTTACCAATCACAGTTAAGAAAATACTCTACTGTGATTGGTTAATTTTTTAAAGCTTAGAGCTTAAATCATCTATTGTAAACCCATACTTAAATTGTCTTTTAGACATTAAAATATGTCTTTAAGGGGTTATACCTACCTGCAAGGTCTGAAAAACACGTATTTTTGGGAATTTTTTTTTTAAATATTTGAAGTGCTTTGGAAAGGAACATTTATGTTTTCAAATATATATATTTCAAAGATTATTTAGTATTTTTTTTATTGCAAAATGTTGATAAATAAAAAAGATATGCTTAATCTTCCAGAAGCAGTTTTTTGAAAAGCGTTTTGCGGTGACCACTCTAACTTTGAACTGGTTTACCAGAAATCAAAAAACCCGAGAAATTTAGTTAATATATAAGATTATCTAGTGCCCGATCGTTCATTTTTTTGAAAAATTAATTTGCGACAAAATGGCGGCTGTTCAAATTTGAAGGTATGATTTTGCTACCAAAAATTTGCTCGTTTTTTTATTATTAAAAAAAAATACGCAACGAAAAAACAAAAGCCACGATCGGGCACTAGATTTTTAGTATTAAAGATGTCTACCAAATTTTATTTCAATCGATGCAGCGGTTTTCGAGATATTTTGGTCACCGATTTTAAAAATGCTGTTTTGAGAAAAACGCATTTGAAGTTTCAAATTAAGTTCACAACCAAATAATATATTTATATATATATTTATATATATTTATATATATTATTTATTTATATATATTTTGGCTTTGTATAGAGACCGCTTTTGTCCGCGTCGCAGCTGCCGTTCGATACCTGAGACCCGTTTCTGTACCCTGCTTCTAAACAGCAGGATACGTTCACACCAGTATACCTTTAAACTCACATAACTTCGTTAATTTTTGTCGAATCGACTTGAAATTTGCAGGGAATATTTTTGAAAGTATGTACTTTAAGAAAATATCAAAATCCAAAAATCGATTTTTTTGAAGTTTGCAGGTAGGTATAACCCCTTAAAGGGATTATAAGAGCAGTTGAGTTTCTGACCTGTTTTATCGACAAAATGTAAAGTTAGATAAACTATAAATCTATTTATTGGCTATACGGATTGTTTTGTGTCTGTGACATTGTAAGTGTGCGGATCTCAGGAATCGATGTTCCTCCTACACTACTGTTTTACGTTGTAATCTAATCATATGTAAGTCTATAAACATCTTCGTTTTCGTACAACCTATTAAGCTTAAATAAATCAATAACTATTTAATAACGGTATAGGATTCAAATCATTATGTGTCTATCGGGTCTAATAACCGGAGTAGAAACACAATTTACGAATTTTAACCATCACATTATGACTATGTTGGAGGAATATCGCTTTTCATTTTTACATCATGTTCTCTTTTTCTCTTACCATAATATTTGTTAATCATTATATCTATCATTGTATTTTTAATGCGTTACATACTCTATGACGTTTTTGATTCTGCTTGATGTATGTTACCGTTATGACACCGTTTATTAGTTTTTTAAATTCAGAATTTAATCAGCGTTGATAATGGTCAAAATATTGACCGAAACGTTCGCTTTGTATTTGTATTTAAAGAGTACTTATGTTTATTCTTTTTTGTCACCTTTTATTGTAATTCATTATTAGACATTAGATTAAAGAATATTATTTTTATCTATGACTTCTCTTTCAAACATAATTTGACTTTTTATATTTACTGCTCTTAACAGCCTTTTATCAAATTTATTATAATTTAATAAGAGCTTTGACTTACTACGAATTAATATTTTAATTTGTCTTTGTTAATATTTTGATTTGTACAGGAAAAAGATTTATCAATCTATGTAGTCTTATATACATATATATGTATATAATATATCTATATAGGTTGCAGAATTATGAATTTAAGAATTTCCAATAAAAAACAATCCGTATAACCAATAAATAAATTTATAGCTAAATCTAATCTCACATTTTGTCGATAAAACAAGACTGAAGATTAGCTAGGATTCCCTTAAGACGTCAATAAGTTATCTTTAAGTCTTGTGTCCCGTTTAGACATGATGTTGTTTTGGGTTGTATATAATAATACTTCCGTCAGACACGCATATTAATATCACATCCTATTAGGTACATTCTTCTTATCGTATTTGCTGCCTAAGAATTCGATTTTGCAAGAAGCAATAAACGTGTTGATCGGTCAACTAAATCAAGCCGGCTTAACCCTGTTATGGAGCAAAGAGGACATTCAGAGTCAGACGGTTAAAGAAAGGGCTCTGTCTAAAGAAAAGCTAGTTAAAAACGAGTTAAGAACGAACAGTTTTTGTGCCATTCAATCTATCCGACGTGCAATCATCCTTCTATATGCTACTGCTAGGACTGTTTATATCTACTATAGTATTTTTCCACGAGAAAGGCTGGCTGAAACCATTATCGTTATCGCGTATCAAAAGATCAGACTCGGAACCTATATACGCTCATCATCAAACGAGATAGAGCCATGTCTGTTTCTTTTCAATTTTCCTTTCCTCAGCGGAATTTCTTTTCTAAAGAACAAGATTGCAAAAAGTGCGCAGGCAAAGTATAGAAAAGGAAGCGTAAAAGCTCTTCTTTCATGCTCTGATTCCTTTCAGATCCGGATCCTTCAATTATAGTAGTCATGGAAGATACCAGAAGCAAATTATTTAGTAATATAGTAAATTGCAATAATAAATTCAATAGCATAATCTAACAGCTTCGTTTTTGTATTGAATGAATTGAAAAATGAATAATACAAGATGGAATATAGAGGGTGCAACAAAAGAGGTATTTGCTACTTTAAGAATAGGTGGTACAAAATGATAAAAAATTCCTATAAACATTAGGTTTGTAAATGATCTTCTATTAAATCATTATAAATCTTATACAACTTCTGAACTTAAATTAATACATATAAGTTTATTAATATTTCGACCTAATTGGCCAGTACAAATTATTACAAACACTACGTTTCGATCCTCAGGTACGGGTCCTTATCAAGTGTAACTGTACAATAAAAAAACGTACATTGATGAAGATGCGAAACAGTTTTTTTACAAAGTTCTTACAAAGAAATTTAGAAAAACTGTTTTGCATCTTCATCAATACATTTTTTATTGTGCAATTACACTTGATAAGAACTCGTACCTGAGAGTCGAAACGTAATGTTTGTCATAATTTGTACTGGCCAGTTAGGTCAAAATATTAATAAACTTGTATGGTTTTACTCATCACTGGCGACTTCGTTAAATTTATTGATACTTAAATTAATTGCTAAAATTATTAAATGAATGCAAACAATGCAATGTTTCGATTATGTTTTGTTTTCATTTGATATCGTCCTGTTCCAAACAAAAAAGTTTTTCAAAAAGTACAATTTAATATTAATTACTATTAATGGAAACTAATAAAGATATAGCAGATATGTATTTAATGTATGGTCTTGCGAATTATAAAAGACTCAGCAAGAAGACTTTATTCTTTACCTCATCAAAGTATTGCAGGATAGGTTTTTGGCTGGACTTTGCATCTCAATATTATTAGATTCACCTTTAAAAATAATTTAAATTATCAATAGGGAATTATTTGCAAACGTTGATAAGAACTTTTTTCATCATTTTGATATGTCCTATAGTTACCCTTAAAGTATGTTAATATCTTTTTGTTACATTCTATAGCTAACATTTTGATTAATAATATTAAGAATACTATTCAACTCTCGAAATCAACATATAATTTATAAATATGTCGGCTGTAGGAGCCTAACGCGATGTCTTTTGCGCAGGGTTGGGAAGTAACGAGTTACTTGTAACGAAGTTACAGTTACAGTTACTTTTTTTCGGTAACTGTAACTTAACTTCGTTACTTTTCTCCATCTGTAACTGTAACTGTAACTTAGTTACATTTTTTTAGTAACTAGTAACTATTTTGACAGTTACTTTATTAGTTACTTTTTTTGGAAACATCCGCTAAAAGTATCGTTTAAGTTTGGTAGCCGTTATATTGTTAAATTAAATTTTGTTAACAGTAGCATATGGATCTTCGTATGATTTAATCTTTTACCTAAAATTTTCATTTTGTGTACATAAAATAATATAACACATAATTAAAATCGACCAATCACAGTCAAATATTTAAAAAAATTCTTAAATGTAATAATTGATCGATTTGCTTCAAGAATTTTTTTAAATACTTGACTGTGATTGTGCATAAAATGTAAGCTCCTTATATTTAAAATAATGTATAATTATTTTTAAAAAGTAACTGAAAAGTAACGACTCGTTACTTTTTGAGTAACTGTAATGAGTTATTTTTTAAAATCAGTAACTTGTAACTGTAACTAGTTACTTTTTCAATAAAATAACTGTAACTGTAACTAATTATTTTTACAAAACTTTCCCAACCCTGCTTTTGCGTCAGTTATTGCGAAAATTAATTTTTTTTATTAGAAATAGTATCTTTATGGTTTAGATCTTTAATTTCTATGTGTTCCCCTTTAACCCACTTGTAAAGCTATAGGTGAGAAAAATATGTGAAGGTCCGAAAGTCGGCTGAATCGAGAATCAAATTCGAGTTTTTTTTATTAATATCATTGAATACGCACGATAAACGTCTAGTAATACCGAATAGAGCTTAGAAACAATTAGTGATTGTAAGATATATCGCAATAAAGATGAAATTATACATACCCACATCCTGTCTTTACATTAGCATTATCCTTGATATCCTATTAACACAGATATGATATGGACCGAACGCACGCGCGCGCACACACACATAAACACACTTATTTCATGGGTGTATTCAGGACGAATAGCACGCACACTATTATGGACCATCGACGTCCTACGCGCAGACTCTTTCACACGAGAGGAAAACGTCGAGAGGGAGTGAAGGATGCTCGTGAATTTTCGCCAATAACATCGCCAGTAGCGCGACTACCCACCGGCTGGATCTACTCGTGGTAGTGTAACCTGTTGCCGTGGCAAATCTCGAACGACGAATGCAACAAAGTGCTATGTATATATATATGTATGTTACTAATGATACAATGTTCATTCTCGATTCATCGCATGTGTAAGTGCGCGCGTGTGCTTGTATATGTACGTGGCCGTAAGATAATAAATCATTCATTTGCTGTATACATATATATATATATATATATATATATATATACAAATATGTTTATGGTGTCGTTTTTTTCAGATTCTGATTTTTTCTGAGAAAAGAGAAACTTATTTGGAGAATGCTAAGTGATCTTTTAGCGGGATGTATATTTAATCGACGAAAATGGGACTGTTGCATAATACACTCATCTTGATTTAATTAAATTCTGATCAAAAGGAGCGTCACGCGTTAAGTTGGTTCTTTTTATCTCTCTCTCTCTCTCTCTCTCTCTCTCTCTATCTCTCTTTCTCTCTCATTCCTCTTGTATTTCGCGATAATCTCGATGAATGAACATAGAAAGTTTCAAATGAATCGCTAATTAAAAGCGAACGAATCACTAATTTGGATCATGGAGCATACAATTGGTCGCGAATTAAAGCTACATTATAGTTGTTAGGTGAAACAGAAAAGACTAACACCCCAATTATCGACGTTGTCATGTCAGAAGTGAAGATACGAGTGCCCTTGTTGCTAGACAGCGGAATAGAATATCGTGATAAATTGCTATGTCTTCCAAGAGCGTTTACGACTGGTACCGGACACTCTTGAACATGTCCTAGCTACCAAGACATCTGAAGGTCCCTTGGCAGAGAATCGAAGTGATATGTGTTAATTATGTATCGTTCAAATTACATGGATATTTTACGCAGACTGAACATAACCGACGAGGACATCGACTATGCCTACGCTTTCGACAACCTGACCGATTGTAGATCTGGAGCCAGGTCTCCGGGAATGGAAGCAGCTACAAGAGTAGCTGCAGGGATACGATACAGCTGACTTGCTACTGCGACGGTGCGATTCGCGATCTGGCGATACAGTACAAGAATTATCACGGTTACGCTGCTCTTTTCATATGCTCCTTCGGTACGCTCACCAACGTGCTCAACATCATCGTCCTCACGAGGAAGGACACAAAGGCTGCGTCCATTAATCGAATTCTCACCGGCCTGGCCGTGGCGGACGTGTTGGTAATGCTGGAGTACATCCCGTTCGCGATTTATAAATATTTCGTATTACCGGAACACAGGATCTTCCCGTACGGAGGGGCCGCGTTCATCCTGTTCCATATGCATTTCACCCAGCTTTTTCATACGATCAGTATCGCTCTCACTCTCACTTTAGCTGTTTGGAGGTATATCGCCATCAGGTGAGTTTCATAATCCTCTGAATTTTTCGAGCGGAAAAGTAGAAAAGATAAAAGTGCATAAAAGGTTGCGCCTCACCTTGATTTATTTATCGCCGTTTAAATATATTGTAGGATTTATTTATTTGAATATAAACTGAAATTGGGAATATATGGCACTGGTTTAGAAGATATAATAAGAAATTAAAATTTCATATAATTTTAATGCTTTTTCTCTCTCACGTGGAATTGTAAAATAACATATTTGGAACAGTGAAGTTTGTTTGATGTGCAAAAATGTTTGTTTACTTATTTACGAAATAGATCGTGGATATTTTGTCAATAATTAGAATTTCGCCTATTTCTCTTGCAATTCAGTATATAACTTTTAATAAATAAACGAGATACGCAAAATGGGTGTCCAAATTCATTTGAAATAGACAAGGTAAAATATAGTTAAAACCTTTCCCCATTTAAAAATGCAAAATGCTTTTTAGATACTTATTTAAAATAGGAAATGGAAAATAGGCATTTTTAAAATAAAAATAATTTTTTAAAAATATACTTATATTTCTATATGCATACTAAATTCTTATTTTTTTATTATTTATATTTTCTTATTATTAGTTCTTATATATACTGAAAATGTTATTTCTTTGAATATAAACTTAAATTACAAACATTAAATGCCATGACATTTATATATGGCGTTACACAATAAATTAATTTCTCTATTGTTTACAACATACGCAGTCAGTTATCCTTTTAAAATAACATTTTGATTGCTCTTTAGAAGTGGAACGCATTTAAAAAAAAAACAAGTTTTTCAAAGAGGGAATTTTTTTTATTTTTCTTTTACAGGTTTCATAATCAGAATCAGTGATGCCAGAACGAAAACGTGATATATATATTAGAGGCATCGCCATGTCCATATCTCACATTATCTTATTAATATCTCAATTTTTGTAGTTTACAAGAAAAATGTAGTTTACAAGAAGAAATAGAAAATGCGCGTAATGAAAACCATTTAAATAAGAAAATGTATATAAAATATTTCTGGAGAAATGTTTTAATTGCAAAATATATAAAAAATGTATCTATATTTCAAATACACATCTCTGTAAATAAATAAGATATCGAAAGTAAAAATATTTATTTATTGAATGTGTGGACAGGAATATAAAGGGATTCCTTCACTCTCAAAAATTTTAACTCCATTATTTTTGAAACTGAAAATAGGTTTAAATTAGGTTAGAATTTTTTCAGGTTTAAAAATGCAGGAGTGGGATTCCATACTTCTCCCCCTTTTCTAAAAGTCGTGTAAACAGTCTCAATTAAAAAATAAGATTATTACAGCATATATACATTTTAATGTCCCACACACACACAGTGTTGTGTTTAGATGATTTTAAAATTAACTAGATAAATCTTAAATAAGATAAAGATGATTTTGTTTTAAATTTATCTATAGATAAAAGATAAAATTATATGGCGATTCATCTAGATAACTTCTAGATAATTATTTTTAAAATCTCTTATGTAAACACAGTTATAAAAAATATAAATTATAGAAGGGATATAAAAATATATTTATATTTTTATTTGTAAATTTCTATTGCTTTTACTGCTTAAATAAGCTACTTAAAAATCAAATTATCTGAACATTATTCTAGATAATTTAATAAAGATAACACTTTTTTCGTCTAAAATACAGATATATAGATAATACATATTTATATTATCTATATAAAGATATAAGATGCCAAAACTTCATCTAGATGATCATCTATATAATTTTATTTATATAACGCAAACACTGTGTAATGTCAATTTGTTTTATATCTTCTAAATCAATAGCCATATATTTTTTCTTGAGTTGTAACCTTTTATGCAGTTTTATTGTAAGAAGATTAAAAAGTCGTTGTCTCTTATGTCTCTCTCTTTCTCGTGTATATATAATGCGCCAGATTTCCGAGTTACAATTATACTTGGTGTACCGATAGACGTTGCACGATCGCTCTTTCATGCAGTTTTCTCGCTCCGTTTTTCACCTGCGCTCCTAGCTATCTCGTGTTTGGAGTAAGTAAAAACGTCAATTGTATAATGTTTTGTTCAAAGCATATCGCATTTTTTGCAACAATAAATATATAAATTTCACTATGTCAGGTAAAAGCAAAAAGTGTTTACGAGAACGGTACTAAGGAGATTTTATACGTCGTGGATACTGATTGTTCCATTAATAAAGGATTCCTGTGCGAATTAAATTTCTGGATACTTAGTGTAGTTATCAAGCTCTTGCCATGCGTTATTCTTACCGTCATCATTTGTTGGCTGATAAAAGCCCTTTACAGGTAAAGGCAAACCGTGAAAACGGATTATTTAACGTACGAACGTGCAATTATTTATTTTCGACACCGACGAGGTAATTTACAATTTGTAATTTACAATTTAGTAAAATGGATAAAATGTTCTTAGTAGTTATTTATTGTCGCATGATTACACTGTTTAACAAAAAATGACTTTTTTTCGAACACCAGAACGAGACTATAGTTGTTTCTTATAGTTTTTTCGAACATGAATCTGTCTTCAAACCTGCTCCATCACGTCACAATTTTAAGAGACATGCAATTAAAGTTGTAAAAAAGGACTATTTTCACGAACTTTGTCATGTTATACCTACAATATGTGACGTGCTAAAGTTTTCTTGCCACCAAAATAAAGTTTAAAAATATTGTTTAACGTAAGTCGCAGGACTTTCAACTCTTAATAAGAATTTTCGATATTGGTTATGGTTCATAAGATATTCATATAGTTAAATATGAGATATTGAAGATATTAGCTGACTAAATAAGTATAACTTATTTAATTAGATTGACGAGTTACAAACAGTTTTAAATTATGTTTATATTTATTCTTAAAGATATTTTAGGTCACTGAATACAAATCCAATGTCAAAATTGTTAAAATGGTGAACTCAATATGATGGATTTATAAAAAAAAATTTTTTAATTTTTAAATCTCCCTAATTGAATACTATTTGAATTTGACTATTTTGACATTGATTTAGACCTTTAAGAATTGTGACTCGTCAACTTAAGTAAGTCACCGCTAACCTCTGCAATACCCCATATATTCAACTATGCATATCTTATTAATTTAATCATAATCGACACCAAAAATTCCTATTGAGGGTTGAAAGTCCTAACAATTAATATATACCTTATTTTGATGGTAAGAAAACTTCTTTAGCACGCATTTTATGGCTATAATGACAAAGTTCATAAAAACAGCACTTTTCGCAACTTAAGGCATCTGCGATACTCACTGCGGCCATCTTAAATTGATGACGTCAGAAGCAAGAAAATATATCATAAAAACTCTTGCGACTTACGTTAAAATAAAATGTTTTTCAATAAAATAGCGTTTGAAATCGATAGAGCAGACATGTAAAATATACCGAAAACTCATTTTGTTTGTATATTCAATAAATAATATACATATATATGTCAAATTGAATTGAATTAAACCAAGGACGAAAACCAGCTGCTTGACAGGTGTATCGAAATGAAATAAATATTTGCTTTCACATATTAAATTATGTCAAAATTGGAGTCTTCGGTATATTTTAACACCAATACAATTATTTTAAACATAAAAACACTGCAGCAAAACGAAAAATAACCCTGTAAGTCGCAAGAATAATTTAACTTGCTAAAATGACACTTATGCTTATTATTAGTAAACAAACTCGTATTATTTATTAATTATATAATTTTCGTTTATTATTGTACATCTTTTATCGATAAAAAATATAAGTAGATATTCTTATTATTTCTATCGTTTTGAATTATGTCGTCACTGTCAAACGCGGACTTGGCAATCGAACAGGAGCCTTAATATATTATCTCGTCGTTACCTCGTCGGTGCTTTCGCGTTCTCGCTACACTACAACACGCACATTTTCCTTGATTCAGGGCAAAAGGTAGGAAACAAACCTTAAAGAGCTACAACCATTGCGCCGCGAGGACGGCGAAGCCGGCCTCGTCGTCGGGAATCTCCGACGTTGAGACTTACGATGGATCATTTGAGGTTAAAAGGGACGAGTCCTGCCCGCGGCGGATGAGTAAATCCGACAAACGAACGGACAGAACGACAAGGATGCTCGTAGCGGTGCTGCTGTTGTTCCTCATAACAGAGATCCCGCAAGGCATTCTGGGTTTACTATCCGCAGCCCTGGGCGATTGTTTCTTTCGTAGTTGTTACGACAAGTTTGGAGAAGTGATGGATATTCTTGCGTTAATAAATGGTAGCATTAACTTCATTTTATATTGTTCCATGTCGCGACAATTTCGTATGATTTTCGGACAGTTGTTCAAACCTAGGATTATAACCAACTGGCCGACGATGAATCAGCATCAAACCGATATGCAAAGCACGTATGTTTAACAAAATAAGAGATTTTACGAAAAGTTACCTTCTGTTTCTTGAACATAGAATTTGGGTATGCAATCTATTTATATAATAAATATATATATAATTGTGTATTATAATTATTAATAAATATACGACGTTATATGGTTAACACAAGGTTAAGAAATGATCTCAAATCCATCCGGATAAAACAAAGAATTTAATTAGTAAAATACAAAAATATGTATTCAGAAATAAATATTTTATCGGCTCCAATATAAATAATATAAGTATGCTGTTAAGCTAATTTTTCGTTCGTTTCCTTGGCTCATGCCCGCTTAGAAGACAGCATACTATATTATTTATATTGAGAGCCGATAAAAATATTTCTGAGTTTATTCAGCCTTGGGCTAATCACGGCGGTACTAAAAGGCAAATGAAAAAATATAGGATCGAAAGGGTCTGAATAGCTTAGTTGGTAGAGCATCGCCCGGAAAGTGAAAGACGCGGGTTCGATTCCCGCTTCAGCGACTTTTCGGACCTATATTTTTCTCGCTTATTTCTCCATATGTAAGTTTCGAAATTAATTTATATGTGGAACTTTGGGATCTCAATTGAGATTACAGTCCGTTTAATTAATTTTTCGTTTCGTTTCCTGGCTCTATTGCCCAGCTAGAAGACAGCATACTTATATTAAAAATATGTTGTTATATATTTTAACTTTATCTTTCGCACAATATAACATTTCTCATAAAAATTACTATAACTTTGTTAATGAAATTATAATAATAATTATAGTCGTGTGTGTATGCAAGCTTAAATATTAATAAATAATTATACAGGCAAAAACACACGATTCTGTAATTTCATCTTATTAAATGTGTATCTTTTCAAATAACATGTTAATAAGAAATAAATAATGCTACCGCGCGTTAACTGTTGATCTACTGTATTATTGTGTATAAAAAAAAGTTGTAGTAGAAATATAAAATGTGATAATGTTTCAATAAATTGTTTCATTAGAAATATATTCCAAACTTGATATAGATTTATTATATATCCTTTTAGATATACATACTTTCTTGATCAGTAGGAAGAGAGAGAGGGGAAAGAGGAAAGAGGGGGAGGGAGGGATATGATTTTTAAACTTCGTCAGAACTCAATGGTCGCTCTTCGCTCTCTTCAGCTAGTGGCTCTTGACTAGTATTTAAATCTGTTTTTTCACGTTGCAATTTCTTCGACAACTTTTTTGCCATTTGCGATATATCACATGTTGTGATATAAACGGTATAGCTTTATATAATTAGCGCACGTTATCTTCAGCTATAGATATATAACATATTTTTAAGTTTCCACCCAGACAGCAAGACGTTTTGAAAACGTATTAAAAAATATACATATTGGATGTTTGTATTTAAGGATGTATCTGAGCTATCTAAAAATAGTACAAAGTAGATGAAACTTTGAGAAACTCTTTTTTTTTATTATTTCTAATGTATTTAAAAAAAATTCAATTGGATTCACTAAACCATTAAAGAGTAATTATTATTTTAATTTAGGCTGATTTTACAGTTGTTCTTTCGAAGAAGTGCGATTTTCTCGAATGTAATAAATAAAATAGTAAATAGGTAAAAAGATATGAGTAAAGAAATAATTATTATGTTAATTGTTGTCGATTTTGTACGTATTTTTACGAAAAAATGCGATTTCCTCAAATATAATTGGTAAAGAATATTGAAAAAATAGTATCAATAATTTCATTTTTTTTATATATATAAATCTTGAATTATCAAAACTTTGTGCAAAAGTTGACTAGTTTTCACAACACGGTTTCAGAAAAATTAATTATTATTTGTGAAATTTTATTATTTTTATAATGATTAAATTATTGAACGTGAAAGTGCGGCAACGTCGCAATCAATTGAACGTGTCAAGTGAACCTAGTCTTAAAGTCTATACGGGAGAGTAAAATAGTCATGTCGTAAAGTCTCATTTTTTGTATTGTCTATTCGCGGCATAAATAATTTTGAAGTCTTAAATATTATTAGTTTTAATAAACAATTTTATTAATATTGATTAGTATAAATAATGAATTAATTAGCATAAATAATAAACTATTATTAATATCGATTAATAACAAATACCTAATAAAATAATACATAAAAAAAACAGAGAAAATTATTCAATGTAAATAAAAATCAGTATAATATCTTAAAAACTTAAATATTTAATAATTAAAATCTGGCTTTTGCTTTGATTTCTCATTCACATTTTCTTTATTGTCAAGGTGATAGACTCAATTTTTTCTTCTTCTCCTTTCTTAGTTTTTTTTCTTAATTGTCCACATTTTTGTTGTGCAACTCTCTTCCGATACGTACTTTCACTCACAATTTACCTTTCTATCAATAAGTCTTCATAACTTTTGACATCTCGACAGCGTGTAACCTCAAATCAATTATACTTTTTTTTTTTTTTTTTTTTTTTTTTTTTGACATTTTCTCTGTACTCTACAAAGTGCATTGCTAATTACTATCAACTTACAAGCCAAACGTGTTACGACGTTGCCGCGTTAAATACGTAAAGTGTCAAACATAATATTAATAATAAATAATAATTATAGTTATTATTTAAATAGTATATATTTATCTTTTTTACTATATTCTAATTAGTTTTTTATTTTACATTAATGAATAATGCTGTTAAATTAACAAGAAATTTATTTTATAAAGTTGAATTCAGGGCATTTTCCTTCCAAAAGTTTTATTACGGAAGATTGAAAAATTGCAAATAAAGTTAAAAAACTGTTGACAAAGTGAAAAATAATGTTTTAACAGTAAATATATTATGTTAGCTACTCATTTATATTAGTTATCACTGGATTTACTACACGTAAAGTGTAAATATGCAAGTATTCCGGATTTAGAGCACTTTTGTCAACGATTGTACCTCAGATACATCCTTAACATTTTATCTTAGAGTCTTAAACATCTTTTTTAGAAGATTTTAAAGATATCCAGGGTTACTTTTTTTGATACAATCAAAAAATGTCCATTTTAAGGACTAAATTAAACTAAATTAAAATTGAACCTGTTTCGAACATTAAACATATTTTTAAAGTAGATAAGTGTAAGCAAATATATAGCATATTAAATATAGCATATTGAATATATATCTATATATTTTAGTATTTTATATATAGCATGAAAAGATTGCAGAAATATTACAGACATTCAAAAGAGACAAGAAAAAATTCGTTGAAACTGTACGTGTAAGTTAATTTTGTTTATCCGTGCCGTGATAATCAGATTTGCGGTTACTTTAATTTTAATAGTTAATTTTGCAAGCTTATATATAATTCTCATAATGAATTTTAAATATGAGACAAATAGTAGCAGTAAATAAAGAAATTAATGATTTTAATGAATACTGCTTTTTTTTAATATTTTTGAAATATTGCTGTAATATATTTCTCATAAAATATTACAGTTACATGTTCTTATAATGATCTCTTCAATGTTACGTTACGACTTGTAAAATTATAATATTGCTACAATGTAACTAAAATTTCGATGCTATATAAGTATTCACAAAGGTAGCAAAAATGACGTCAGTTTACTACTTGGGTATGAAACCTTGGATATGTATGAACGTTTTTAAAACATCTAAATATACTTTGAACGTCTAATAATGGATATTCTTATTCCATGATCGTTTGAACTAAATAAAAACCAAAATTGGACGCCCATTGGACATTCTGTGCTGTCTGGGCATTTTAATTTTTAATAAAATACCTGCGGTCAACGTCAACAACGGCCATAATATCGTTGAGCGCTGTCAAAATTTCAGTAGCGTTAGTTTGTTTACCGTGAGCGTCGAGAACCACGGCATAATTAATCAATATTAGTGGATCCTGAGGAGATAAAGCGTGGGCTTTCGTCAAAGATCTCTCGGAACCTTCCAAATCGTCCAAACGTTTCAAAGCCACTGAGATATAACAGATATATATATATATATATATATATATATAGTTTTAATATTATAACAAGACGCGAGAAAAGAAGAAATTTCAGGCAATATTCCATTTGTGAAAAAAAAAATTTGCGTAAAAAAACTTTAAGATTGACAATAAACTTTATTTATTATTATATTTAAAATAAGTAAAACAATAAAATTAGTTTTTAAGTATATTTGTTTTTATCGTTAACTGGCAGCACCAGGTTTTAAGATGTTTTTCTTATTTATATGAAGAAAAAATGCGAGAAATTTTATCTTTAAGTATTTAGCATACCCTTTCGTTGAATGGTTCACGAAAAAATTTTGAATAGATCGTTAATCACACTTTGGAAACAAAAGATGTAAAGAGAAAAGTTGTCGATTCATAAACAAATGCATTTTGAGAAAATATATAGAAGTCGTCGATATACATTGAATTGATTTAAAATACAAGATATGTTTCAAAAATAGGTAATCAAAAAGAGCATATTTTTTACTCACCAAAATTTGACCACCTATTTCTAAAACACTTGTATGTCAGTGAAAGAGAGGAATTAAGCACTTGTGTCCAAGATTTATGGAAGTGACAGTCACAAACCTGTATGAAGTTAACACCTCAGTTTTGAAATTTTAAAGTTTTAAAAGTTTTTAGATTGTCCTAGACTTGTTCTAAATTGTTCCAAAACAAATCATCCCAATGTGTATGGGCTGATATATTGTCGTTGTCACGGTTTTTCCATTGTCACTATTATTGAAGAAAAGCTGTTACGTCACAAAACTCTTGCTTTTTTATTGTCAAACTAACGATAGGTAACCATATAACGATATGCACATCGCGGAAATCACTATATACCTTAATTCTCTTTGCAACAATAATGTTGGACACATGCCTATTCCGTATTATCATATCGATAAATTCTATTATATCTTTTGTTCAACAAGTCTTAAGCTGCAATATACATATATGAGAAAACCAGCTGATTATACCAAGATTAAATTTTGTATAAAATTTTTGAACCCGCTACTAATCCTATTTAAATTAGGTCCCGATAATAAATATACTCAAATAAGTTAAATAATGAACAGTTAATTATCTAACCTACAATTTTTGCGTTTGACTGGCTGTAGGTCAATAACTGTTCATTATTTAATTTTGAGCTTATAATATATTGTATCTTTTGTTCAACAAGTCACAAGTTGCAACATATAAGAAAACCAGCTGATTTCACCGAGACACAATTTTATATAGGGTTTTAAAAAAATCCTATCGTGATCTAATTTCATATACGAGCAGGATTAGTGCGAGGTCTTTTTCAAAGCGTCTAACAGCAATAAAAGGGTTAATAAAAGGAATATTTAATGTTCAATGTTTGTTTTCTACTTACGACCTAGTAACAGATATGGTGTAGGATTCTTTGGTTCGGCGCTGACTGCAGCGCATAAGTAAATCGCAGCCGACGCAGGCTGTCCAGTGGTGAGAAAAACGATTCCGAGATTGCACGATGTGACACAGGACATCGGACTCAGGTAATGAGCTCGCTTTAATGAGCTAATAGCCTGTCAAACACTCGTAACAGAAAATTTTTGCTTCTCTCTATATTTTATCTCTAAAAAACTTACCTTTAAAAAAAGGTAAAAAAAGGCGACCAGTTAAGGGCACACCATTAACAAAAATTATCCATTGCAAACCCATGTACAATAGAATTGTATGAAAAATTATCGATTATAAACCAATGTACAATCGTAACAAAAGTAATGAAATAAAAAAAAAATTGCGCCAAGTGAAAGTAGAAACTTGTACCAGTGGAAAATTAAAGTTGCAGACATATATAGAGTCGTATAATGAATCAATAAAAATTTAAATTTGCAAATGTAGAATTGTACCATAAAAAAACTTATCTTTAAAAAAAAAAGATAAACAAGATGCCAAGTCCATGCGCCATGTGAAAAAGTGTTAAACAAAAAAGTATTTTTAAGTAAAAAAAATCTATCAATTGACAAAAATTTATGTTCTAAAATTAATATCTCTACAAAAAGTAATGTCCAATTATTGCGCGAATAAATAAACATTTTTATAAAAAATTAAAATTTAAAAACTTATGCAAATTTAAAATTAATATAAAATAAAAAGAAATAAAAAAATTTTAGTTAAAAAAACTGGGCGCGCTGCTAAATAATATTCTAATGATATTAAAATAAATTGTTACTTTTAAACTCATTGCAGCGCGCCCAGTTTTTTTAACTAAAATTTTTATTTCTTTTTATTTTATATTAATTTTAAATTTGCATAAGTTTTTAAATTTTAATTTTTTATAAAAATGTTTATTTATTCGCGCAATAATTGGACATTACTTTTGTAGAGATATTAATTTTAGAACATAAATTTTTGTCAATTGATAGATTTTTTTACTTAAAAATACTTTTTTGTTTAACACTTTTTCACATGGCGCATGGACTTGGCATCTTGTTTATCTTTTTTTTTTAAAGATAAGTTTTTTTATGGTACAATTCTACATTTGCAAATTTAAATTTTATTGATTCATTATACGACTCTATATATGTCTGCAACTTTAATTTTCCACTGGTACAAGTTTCTACTTTCACTTGGCGCAATTTTTTTTTTATTTCATTACTTTTGTTACGATTGTACATTGGTTTATAATCGATAATTTTTCATACAATTCTATTGTACATGGGTTTGCAATGGATAATTTTTGTTAATGGTGTGCCCTTAACTGGTCGCCTTTTTTACCTTTTTTTAAAGGTGAGTTTTTAGAGATTATATCATTCATTTTTGTATATGATAAGCATCTTTAAATAAATAAGCAAATTCAATTTTTCTGGCATTTTCTTATTTTAGGTACATATATATCCAATAATTAATATACAAAATTAAATATTATTCATCACACAATTTGTATCAAAATAATATATTTTTAAAAATTTATTTTAAATTTATTTAATCATTTTTATCATTGTGATTGTAGTGGCAAGGATTTTATTGCTCAGTGTCATTGCAAGCATCTGGCCTGTATATACCATAATATATTGTGTAATACATTGGCTAAGTATGACAATATGGATTTTGATAGATTCCCATGGAATATTGGAATTTTGTCGGACTTGCAGTCATCCACCACATATGCAGCCTACAATTAAAGAACGCATTTATTCCATATTATTTGCTTCCGTTATTGGCATAGTGCACATTTTTATATATCTCAATGCTGTAGATAGCAAAACATTTTGAAAACATCTATCTTTCTATGTTATCTGCTTTTTTGAAAATATTGCAGCAAATTTATTATGGCAATATGCTTGTCCTCCTGCAGTTAAAGAGGCTTAGTACTTTAATATAATCTTTATTATTTGTATCATTTCCTTTCTTGGGAATTACAGCAATGCTTTTGTACTATATTGTCTTGCATCCCTCAAAAAGACAACATACTTCAAACGCACCAGTTCAAGCAATGTAACTTTGATATTTATTTACTTTAAAAAATGAGAGATAAATTATACAATATGCAATTAACCTTATCTTATGACTTTTATAAATCTTATGATAAAATCTAACTCTCTCTTAATCTTTATTATGAAAAGAATCTCGGTATTATATGAAATAATTTCATTGTATAGTTTAACTTTCAAAAATTTTGCAAAATAAAATAACTCACATTGTATTTCTACCATATATATAAAAAAAAGATAGGTAAATATAAATAAATAAATATATATTTATGATACAATAAATAAATATATATTTATATATATATATATATATATATATATATATATAAAATGTTGGATTTTTATATATATATATTTTCAAAAATCTTTTTTATATGCTATTGAATTTTAATACATACAATTTTGATTATATGTATTTTAATTGATTATATTTATAAGTATTTTTATATTATCTTAAAAAGACTGCATAGAATTATTTGTGCGACACTCTTATATGTATGTATAATTAATAGGGACCAACTACACATTTTTTTTTCCACTGAATAAAAACAATCTCAATATTAAAATTAAATTATAAAAAAGATACTGTGATATTTTATTGATGAGAAATGTACATTTATAATTGTATTAAATACAAAAATAAACATGCCATGAATTACTATATATACATATTTTCATAATTATCAAACTTAAAAATATAATATTGTTACCAAAGAAGAAAGCACTATTTAAAAACTCTAAAAGTTCATAATTTGTTAGATTAGTAATTAAATACTGCATTTTGTATAATTTTTAAGCTTTATTCTTTTATTTTTCTTTATTTAATTGAATAGATATTAACACCACAATGTAGCATACAGATTAAATTAACAACCAAAGAAATAAATCTTAACTTTGAAATATATTTTTGTTTCTTTTAAATATCAATCAACTGGATTTTGTACTACTATTAATATGAATTCTTTATCTGGTGCCATCATAATTTTATGTTTTTTGCTACGTATGCGCAAGAAAGTTAAATCATTTGTTGGATTCAAGTCACGTACGACAGAACGAGCTTTATCTGACAATTGACTTATCAAACCTGCGTATTGAACTGTTGTCGTATTATCTAATGTTGACTTTATAGGAATACCTAAAACAGATATAATTTTATAAATTTTTGTTTACAACTACAAGTAAATCATGTCAATGATCTCATGTAATACCTTCTGCATTCACCACTATTGTTCCAACTACCCTTTTATGAGACTGAATTTGTTTCATAGTTTCTTCAACCTCTTATAAATTATTTCATCGAAATTTATTAATAAAATTTTTATTTTAAATATTCCAATAACGGAAGCAAATCATATGGAATAAATGCGTTCTTTAATTGTAGGCTGCATATGTGGTGGATGACTGTAAGTCCGACAAAATTCCAATATTCCATGGGAATCTATCAAAATCCATATTGTCATACTTAGCCAATGTATTACGCAATATATTATGGTATATACAGGCCAGATGCTTGCAATGACACTGAGCAATAAGATCCTTGCCACTACAATCACAATGATAAAAATGATTAAATAAATTTAAAAAAAATATTATTTTGATACAAAGTGTGTGATGAATAATATTTAATTTTGTATATTAATTATTGGATATATATGTACCTGCAATAAGAAAATGCCAGAAAAATTGTAAAATGTTCCTATAGCACTGATATTAGATTTATCTTGTTAAGCTAATCGAATGCTGCGATGATAACTAGCCATTGCCCAACCCATGCTCACAAGTGAGCTGATAATGCTACCTGCTTGATGTACAACTGAAAAAAATATAGAAGCTAATTAAGAAAATTATTAAAAATATATGCATACTCATACATAGGCATTTATATAATTGAAATATTATTGAAATAATAGCAAAATATCTGATTTTGTATCACAGACTGTAAACTTGCACATAAATTATTATGACAATAAATTTGCAAATAATAACATTAAAATTGAATGTAAAAATTGAAATTGAAAATTGAAAATATCTAACCCGCACGCTGTCAATATAGCGGAGGGCAACTATCGCCGTCTGTTGTAAAACGTGCGAGATGGACATTTCCAAAACATGCATCTATTCATGTGTTGTGTACGTGTGATATATGTGTGCGCATGTGTTGTATACGTGTGAATACGTGTAGCACGATACTACTATGTTTGCGTGGTCGATGATGATAATAATAATCAAGAGACACGGTAGTGTCTCGCGACCAGTTAAGGGGTAGCGGAGACACCGTGTATCTTAACGCGAGTCGGACTTGAGTCTTTATAATATTTCGAATCCTCAATAATGGCTGAAGCAACGAGTTTAACTAGACTTAATCGATAGATTGAGTTCGAATTATATAATAAAAGTGTCTTTATTTCTGCTCTACGTGATTTGTAAGCAGAGATATTAAATGCAAAGTCGAAATATGAAAAATTTCTATTAAGAAACGTCCCCGTCATCATTATTATCATCATTATCATCATTTCATCATCATTATCATCATCGACCACGCATACATAGTAGTATCGTCACAGATTAATAGACAGATCGCCGAAGGCCTGCCTAAAGAAGAGACCGCCACCTTCGTGCGATAGACTTTGCCCCTTACCGACACACTTTGCCCCTGGTTCGAGTCCGTGCTAAATTTCGTCACAAGACTTTGCCCCTGGTGCGAGTCCGTGCTAAATTTCGTCACAAGACTTGCCCCTGGTGCGAGTCCAGGCTAAATTCGTTCGACATTACCAACAGACTTTGCCCCTGGTGCGAATCCAGACTAATTGATCATGAGACCAATTTGAGAGATTTGGCTCCCGTTGTGTGTGTGTGTGTGTGTGTGTGTGAGAGAGAGAGAGAGAGAGAGAGAGAGAGAGAGAGAGAGAGAATTAACATATGCATATATATATAAAATTTATTAAATGTTAAAAATATATTTTTACACATAAATTTTTTTTATTGAAATAATTACGATTTTAAATGTGTGATATAACACAGTGTTAAAAATTTTAATTAAATTTTATTAAAGAAAATTACTTGAAATTTTTTACATTAAGAATTTAAAG